GCTGGCTGCCGCTTCCCAGCAGCGGAACGTCCGGAGACCGCCGCGGACAGGGGGAAGGCGCCCTCACCTGTCCGGAGCAGCTGCCCCCGAGACCGTACCGACTCTTGAGACGCTCCACTATAAAATCCTGCCCTGGTGGCTTCACGACGCGGGGCTCCATGGCGCGCCTCGATCTCGGCGGTCTCCCGGGGAAACGCGCTCAAACCTGCGGCCCAGCTCGGGGGCGGGGCCCGCGCACCGCACGTGCGTCCTGACGCACGGGCCCCGCCCCCGGGGCACGCCAGGCCGTCGGGTGGGCAGCGGGGCGGAGGACTGCACGGGGCCAAGAGGCGGGGTTTGTGTCCCACTGGTGTCTTGAGGCACTCTGGCCCTGCAAGAGGCTGGACTCGCCGAGTTGTCCTCACGTGACAAATGCTTGGTTTCCCACGGTGAAGTTGATGAGTAGTAAGTAGCGCTGTACCTGCCCTGGCGCGTCGTCCAGGCTCTGGGCACCATACCCTGGCCTCGTGCTAGAGGCTTGGAACACAACTGCACAGGCCCCTGGCCCCTAAGCACATTTGGTGAGCGTTTGCACCCACAAATAACACCTGCCTTTTCATAGGAACTGGCTTTTGCTGTCATACAAAAGAAAATTATCAAGAATATAGTAGAACGCTACACACAGAAACCTCTGCTTTCCCTGTGTTCTGCTTGTGGTATAACAGGATATCACAAAGAATGTAAACTCCAGGAAAACATGTACTACTTTAAAACACAAAATAAAACCAGCTTTCCCCAGTACCTACAACAGTGTGCATGTCACGGGTGCTCAATGATATATCAACCTAAGAAACGTTATTTAATAGAGACTGAGGCCGACAGCTGTTTTTAACACTTAATTTTTGGAGGGGTACAGGGAATTGAACTCAAGGGCACTCAACTATTGAGCCACACCCCAAGCCCTATTTTGTATTTTTATTAGAGACAGGGTCTCACTGAGTTGCGTAGGGTCTGGTTTATGCTGAGGCTGGCTTTGAACTTGTAATCCTCCTGCCTCAGCCTCCCGAGCCCTCGGATTACTACAGGCCTGCGCCACCGGGCCGGGCCTCGTTGAAACAATTTTACTAGTGTAACCCCTTTTATAAACTGATTTGTCAACTACATTTCTGAACTAACAACTAAATACTCTGGATTAAAGTTCTCAAATGCCAAGATTTTATAACAGCAATACTTTAGCAAAGTATTTTTTAGTTCTTATCTAAATAAACCAATACTCAATTTTGCCATAAAGTATTGCTTAAAATGCACAATGAATTACTTTATTCTATCTTTAAGCAGATTTTAATCAGACAATATAAAATCCAGCAAGTTTGAAAAAAATACACATTATAGGCTTAATACCCTATTAGTGTTTAATAGAAACCACAAAGTTCTTTCCTGAATTATAACACAAAGATGTTCTTATAAATGCCTGAAGCCACTTTTAAGTATCTCTGGAATACCAATACTGGAAAATTCAGTTTACATATCACTCTGTCAAGTTTTTGGTCAAAATCCTTAAAGCTTTTAATTATAACTTTAATGCTTTAGGACAGCATGAAAATCAATAAAAACTCTCTTTAAAATAACTTGTATTTACTTAGAATTTTTTCTGAAATCATAACTGTCTTAGCTGAAAAAATTACAATACACTTTTTACATCAATTTATATTACATAGGTTTCCAAAGAAACCAATTCTAAATATTAAATGTACATACATGTATGTAGTCTATGGTTCCCTTGAAAGTTCCAGTAATTCAACTAATAAATCTGGAGGTTGATTTTAGGTGTCTGGCTTTGTGACCAAGAAGATTTAGTGATGTAAATGCTGATGTTCACAAACCACACATCACATCCCTGCCCTCACCTCTGACAGGTTTCACAGGTATTCACTGCAGGATAACTTATTTCTATATCACCAAACAATAGGGAGTAAACCTGTCTTTCCTCACTAAACAAAATGAGGTATTTTCACTGGAAAAAAAAAAATGGAAGTACAGAAGGGAGTCAATATCCATGATTGCAATATAAAAAAAAAATGTGTGCTATAATAAAATTCTTTGTAGTGCTACATTAAGCAAGCCAGTAAGAACATCTCTCTTTTTTTTTTTTTTAGCAGTTTGGTTACACTTCCTTTTGACACAAAACATCTCCCCCCAAATTTATTGTGTATCAAACTTGTGAAAATTATGTGGCAGTTTATAGTACAGATCTTTCTTTACTTGTCCTCCTTACATCTAGTACTAAAACGAACAGATGCACAAGTAATGAATGTTTAAAATGTCATGGCTATTATCAATTGTCACTTTATTTCTGCTACAAAATTCATCAGAAAAAGGTACTGCAACAATCTAGTATAAAGCAAATCTTTAACCAAATAACATCGTATAGACCTTTTTGAAAATATTCATACTTTATCACAATAGCGGCAAGAAAAAATTCAATTCTATCATCAGGACCAAGCTGAAATTTCTGAGGTAGTAGAGACAGATGACAGAAAAGTTAAAAAAAAAAAAACAAAAAACTAATAGTCAACTTGTTTCAAATGTAAAATCAATACCTTTGAAAGGGCACAGGAAGCTACAGATTTTAAGAAAAGAGGGTGCTCTAAAATTTAATTTGTAACTATACAGGAGGTGTAAAGATTATTGAAGAGCACTTTGGTTAAATATCTTCTGTGGCTCTATCCATTCATAAACGAATCTCTATGCACAAGGGAACTCACCAATAGTTAAGATTACCAAATATAATTCAGATCTAAAATTAAATTATCCAAGTTGTGGTCCCTTTATTCAAATGGTAAATATATCCATGCAAAAAGTCCAAATATATCTCTAAAGGAACTAAAATTAAGCTGCATATATCATATTCCTTCAATAGTCTGCAAAGTTCTATTGCTTATAACAAGATTAATTATTATTCCATTTTAATACAGATATCAGGAGTACATAAACACAAGTACACCTGAAATACACCAGTGTTTAAACTTTTATTTCACACCATGCAAGGTCAATTATAACACATTAAAAAGTGACAACAGCTATAAGCTGCAATTTTACATTTATACATTGGAAACGTTCATTTTCAAAAGCTGAACATAATTACCATATTGTCTGTAACAGCTAAGCTTCAATTAGACTGCTTATACAGATTAAAATTTACTATGAAAAACAATGATTTTATATCTGTCCACATTCTATGATACTAATTCTTCGACTAACAGATCCTTTGGGAGAACCAAATGATTCAATCTTTTTCACAGTATCCATGCCATCCCTAACAAACCCAAATACTACATGCTTAAAGTCCAAATGTTCTGCTTTTTTCAATGTTATAAAAAATTGAGAATTATTAGTATCCCGGCCTCGATTGGCCATAGAGAGTAAGCCAGGACCGGTATGTTTCACATTAAAGTTTTCATCTTCAAATTTATCTCCATAAATGGACTGTCCTCCTGTTCCATCGTGTTTGGTGATATCTCCCCCCTGAAAAAAAGATTTCAATTAATAGGAATCCTGAGTAAAACATTAAATACACACAGAAGTTGTGACGACACTTCAGGATAAATCCTGACGATCCAGTTTCCTTAAGAATGCATCTTGAAACTTAAGAAATATTTATTTTTGAATGAAGATTAAAAAATGAAAAGTTCTCTTCTCTACCCTGTTTCCAGCACAGTTCAAGTGTTAAAAATTTAAGTTTGAAAGTTCTGGGCAGATTAGGGAGTCAGTCAGTGGTGATGACAACTGTTATTTGGGAAAGCTAAAGAAATCTTAAGAAAACTAAAAGATGGAACTGGGGTTGTAGCTCAGTGGTAAAGTGCTCACCTCACACATCTGAGGAACTGGGTTCGATCCTCAGCACCACATAAAAATAAAAAATAAAGGTATTGTGTCCATTTACAGTGAAGAAAAAAATATTAAAAAAAACTACACAATGAGGTCAAGAAGAAAAATGCAAACTTCCCAAGTTATGTGGTGTGTACTGTTTTTTATTTCAATTATGATAGGTAGTTAATACTTACTTGGCAAACGAAATCTGGAATTACTCTGTGAAAAATGGAGTTCTTAAAACCAAAGCCCTTCTCTCCAGTGCACAGTGCTCTGAAGTTCTCAGCAGTCTGAGGAACAATGTTTGAAAATAATTCCATGGTTATACGTCCCAGAGGTTCACCATCCGCACAAACATCAAAAAATACCACAGGATTTGTCTCCTTTGATAACTCTGCTGCCAGAGACACCTGTCCTTTCTGGAGTTTTAATAAATTTTGCTGACATTCTTCAAATTTTTTCTTAAAAGACTCAGCCATTTCTTTTGTTTTAAATCTCACTGCAAGTTGCTCCACTTTTGCTTCTCCATCTATTAGGAAAAAAAGTTACAAGGGTATTCGCATAACTTATAAATTGTTTTACGTTTGTTATGGATTTTAGAAAAGTCCAAAAAGGAAAAAAAAGAAAGAATATTTACATTTAAAGTTAGAAACTCACCAGCATAATCTGAAGCAGTCCAAACTAAAGCATTATTTGAAACATTTAGGGGTTTTAATTCCATTGTTTTGGTGATAACATGGTTTGCACACACTTTAAACACCTGGTCTCTTCTCATTAGGATCCGATAGTAATTCTTCATTGTATGCCAAAGAATCTTTATATCTCCAACACCCCGCTCCTTCCACTGACTGACATCTCTATCCCATCTATAAAGTTTAGCTCTCTCTTTAAACAAAATTTCTTCATCTTCTTCTCCAGATTTTACTTCTACCTATTAAAAAAGATGAAATTATCTATAAGCTGATGCTTATAATTCCAAAAATCCAAATTCTTTTAACATATTTTCTTTGTAAGGACATTAAAATTTTTTTCCTTTATAGGTTAAGTTACAGAAAGTTCTGGTTCTTGAAAAGAAATATTAACTACTGACTGAGGTTAAGAAAATGACAAAATAATTTTCCTAAAACAACATTCTTGTCCAAATCTGTGAAGGTTGTTACTTTTTACTAAAATGATGTTAGCAAGTAAGGAAATTATTTTGTCCCCAGAATTCAGTATAAAAACAAACATGATATTCTAATAACATATGAAAAAAAATATTTCTTCAACAACTGCATATACTAATTACAAAGCAAAATTTATATACAAACTTAAAAAAAGAGGGTTCAGTATAGATCTGTAATAGAGCACTGTGTAGCATGTTTGAGGTCCTTGGATTCAACCCCCAGCACTGCAAAAACTGAAAAACAAGGAAAAAAACAAAAATATACTTAAAAGCTGAATGCCTAAACCAGGCACGGTGGTGCATGCCTGTAATCCCAGTGACTCAGGAGGCTGAGGCAAAAGGATTCCAAGTTCAAGGCCAGCCCTGGCAATTTAGTGACAACCAAGCAACTTAGCGAGACCCTGTTTCAAAAAAAAAAAAAAAAAAAAAGGGGCTGAGGATGTAGCTTAACGGCAAAGCATTCCTTGGTTAAACCCTCAGTACCAAAAACAAAACAAAAACTGATATCGAACAAATAGAGCTACTATTTCACATAATAAGTATCCTGAAGGAAATATAAACAGCAATAGTCCTACAAATCAATCCAGGGTAATTTTTTAAGCTTAATATGAAAATGAACTTATTAGTAAAATTTTCATTCCCTGACATTTACCTCTGGTAATGACACTATTGGTTCAAAATGAATATCTTCATTATGAACTACTTCTTCATCACTACCATCTTCATCTTCACCAGCTTTACTGGTTGATTGTGTTCCAAACACAGTTGCTCCAGTATTTGCCCACTGGAAATTTTTATCTGAGGAATAAATTAGGATATGTAAACTGTGTAATCTACTTTTTAAAGATTTTTAAAATCCCACTCTTAGATTATCAATGCAACATTATCATTTCCAACAATAGGACACATCTATTTAAAATGTTTAAAATAAGCCAGGCAGGGTAGCACATGCCTGTAATCCCAGCAGTTTGGGATGTTGAGGTGAGAGGACTGCAACTTCCAAGCCAATCTCCACAATCTGGTGAAGCCCTAAGTAATTTAGTGAGATCCTGTTTTAAAAATAAGAAAGAAAAGGGGGGTGGGGGGGGGCGGAGGCTGGGGACGGAGCTCAAGGGTAAAGCATCCCTGGGTAAAGTGGTAAAGCATCATCTCCCTTTTCCCAAAAAAAAGTTTAAAATATTCTGGCAAGTTCAATTCACAGGCAAAACTGCAGGGAATTTATACTTTCGATTATTATAACAAGTACATCCTAAATTAAAACAAGCATTCAATACAGAAGGAAAAAAAAAGCAAAGGAGAAGGGGCAGGGGAAGGGAAGGAAAGAGAGGAGATTGGTGAATGATCTCACTAAAAAGGAGAAGTGATGGTGAGGAGAAACCGTGGTGGGTAAGGCTTATTTACACAAGGCTCCCTCCTGGTGTTTTTCCTAATTTACAAGTTAGTGTACAATTGAGTACTTGGTTATATTGAGTAATAAGCAGTAAACACAACAATTTTCTTTTGGCATTTGTTTGCAGATAACTGCACCCACTACCTTGCTATATTTACTAAGCCTTTAACTTTAGGCTATTTGGTTAAAACAAAAATAAAGAAACTTGTTATCAAGGAAGCCATAAATTCTAATGTATCATCATTAGAAGTAGTTTACTCTTCCTAAAAGAAGCAGAAGCTGTGAACAAAGTATAAATATGTGGGAATATTAGTCATTTGAATTGCATTAATCATTTAAGCATATGCCTTCAATGAAATTTATTCCACAAATCAAACATCTATACAAGAACAATTTAGATAGTGCTATAACCACAGATATGAAAGACACAAAGAATGAGAAAATAAAATGAACTGCCTTATGCTAATTAACTTGATACAATGATGAAATCACTTTTACAAGTGTACTATTTTATAGAAATGTTACCAAAAGGGATTAAAAGTAGAAACATAACTGATAAAGATGAAAAAGCACATCATTTATACTTATTTTAGCAGCATAAATTAGCTCAACCCTAATACTGAAATCCAAATCATCTCCTTAAAAAATGCAGATTTAGGGAGGGAGATAGGACTTAGTGGGAGAGTGCTTACCTACCATGTGTGGGGCTCTAGCACCTTAAGGGGTGGGAGGGAGTAGGGGGGATTTGTTGAAATATCAACAAATCAAATCTAAAAGTACATATAGTTAAAAGAATAACATTACCAAAATCAGACCGAAAATAGTTCTGCATTTTAGTACAGGGAAGACCATTAGAACACCTTATACAAAATTTAAAAATTCTTATGGTTATACTATTAGTAAGGAAACGTAAGTGGAATGTGGTCATGCAGATATATAATCCCATGACTGGGAATGCTGAGGCAGGAGGATCAAAGGTATAAGAACAGCTTTGGCGACTTAGTGAGACTCTGCCTCAAAATAAAAATTTTAAAAAGGGTGGGGGTGGGTGGGTGATGTAGACTCAGTGGTAGAGTAGCCCCAGGTTCAATCTCCATTACCATAAATTAAAAAAAAATTAAACCTAGAAACCCTTCATTATGAGAACACTAAACAAATGGGGAAGTGTTACTTTAGTTACAACACTAACAAAAGGACTGGTTCTTTTAGTTGTGCTTCTGTAACATGATGATTAAAATCACGTCCTGATCTTACCTTTAGGACCAAAAGCAAAATCCCCAGAATTGCTAGAAGCCAAATCTGCAAATGACAGTCCTGTACCACCTCCAAATCCAAATGAAACTGTTTTACTTTCTACTGACAAAAGAAAAAGAACATTTTATTCTTTCAGTTAAGATGTATAAACATGAAAAGAATAGTAGGACTTACCAAGGATAAAGGGGTTTAGCTTCTATATTTTGGTAAATTGTACATTTTGGAAAACTATACATCCAATTTTGAGCTTCTTCGGTAATATTAAGTTTACAGGTGATATTCACAATGAATACAATACTACACCAAATGCATGCCCCCAAATTATTAAGGAAACTAGTCACAGTGGTGCACACCTATAATCCTAGCGGCTCCAGAGGCTGAGACAGGAGGATGGCGAGTTCAAAGCCAGCCACAGCAAAATTGAGGTGTTAAGCAACTCAGTGTGACCCTGTCTCTAAAATGAAAAATAGGGCTGGGGATGTGGCTCAGTGTTTAAGTGCCCCTGAGTTCAATCCCTGGTACCAACCTCTACCCCCCAAATTAATGAGGTGGTGATCTATTTATTTTAAGCTAGATAACATTTCTGCTTTGTAAAGTCTTTTTACAAAAGGTTGCTAAAACAAGCAATCAAGGGCAGGATTTTAGGAAACATCTGTACAAAAAATGTTTTGTGTTCTGTATTATAAAAAAAGTTCACATTTACATTTGATCATCAGAAGTTTGGGGGCATCTAAATTCTATATTATCTCTGAATCACTATATCTTACTCACTCTTCTGAAAATACAGAGATTTTAGGTGTAAATTTACCTTCCTATTGTACCATAGTAAAATACATAGTAAAACTCTAAAGTGCCAATAAATGTAATATTTGTGACTTATTTAGAACTCCTTTTAGGGGGGAAAAATTATGCACCACATATAAAGCAATACAATTTTCAGAGACACTTCCTCCACCTCAAAAAAATAATTAAAATGGAAAAACAGGAAGAAAGCAATATCAAACATTAGTTACTATAATTAAACAATTTTCCAAGCTTTGAGTTTTATAAAAATAGAGCTATTTGGGGCTAGGGATGTGGCTCAAGTGGTAGTGCACTCGCCTAGCATGCATGAGGCAACTGGGCTCGATTCTCAGCACCACATAAATATAAAATATTGTGTCCACCTAAAAAACCTAAAAAACAAATTTAAAAAAATTAAGATCAGCTTTAAAAAAAATAGAGATATTAAGTAGAATCATAAAAAATTTAAGCCCCTGTTATATCTACAATTCATGTATAACTAAAATACTCTGGGTAAGCTTGAGCAATACTAACTATCAAGCAATATTAAAATAAAAATATTATCACAAAGAAAATCACCATGTAAGTAAACTATTATTTTTTATGTTCAGGCAAACAGGTCACAATGTCCCTATAATCAGAGGTCTAACAATAAAGATACATACTTATGTTCATTGTTGGGAAAGCAACATTTTCCTTCTTAGTATTACTGATATCTTAAGCCCCTTTAAACTTCTAAGTCTATCTTCTCAAATATACAGGTGTAACTTTTATGTAATACATGATTATAGACACATATCAAGTTTTACCTTGACTTGTAGATTCTGTATCACTTTCCTTTCTAGTAGACAAATCTACAGGTTTGTCCACAGTTCCAGAGGAAACAGATGATGAACTAATAGGTTTGGCAACAGAATCAGGTTCTTCAGATTTACAGAAAAATGCTGCAGTCATTTCAGTCCCACCAGTATACACACTGTCAGTTGTGCTAGTTATTTCCTCACTCTGGGATTTCTGCAAATAGGAAATAACACAATATTATGCCATTAAAAACTGACTTACAAAAAGGATCACATAACCTATTTTATAAGAAAGGGAGGACTTGGACTTCTGGACAAGATGGATTAAGCACACTTCACCCTCTCCTTCCCCAAACCTACAACCAGATACCTGGACTGAAACATGTACAGCATCTCTATAAGAAGGCTCTGAAAGGTGGATAAACATAGGATAATTAAGTATCTTAGAACCAGAAAGGAAATTTGTTGGTGACATCTGTGTAGAAATTTTTTCTGTCTCTCCTATACTCCAGCCTGGTGTTACAATAATTGAATAAAGTAGAACTGCCGATGGATGGCACACACACAAAAGTCTCAAGCCAGCTCTCTTTGACCAGAAGTGGGAGTGCTCATCAAATGACTCATGTGATAGAACTATACAAAACACGCTTTAAGGAAGCTATTATGACAATGTTCCAAAAAGCAAGGACACTCTTAAGTGAAAACATAGATGTTCTCAGTAAAGAAACAGAATTATTAAAAAGAACCAAATGGGAATTTTACAATGAAAACTATAGAAAGAGAAATAAATTTTATAGACTACTCATCCAATGATAGTAAAATACACATTCTTCAAAAGCTTACATAGAACATTTACCAAGAAAAGACCATGTGCTGGGGCTCACCTATGGTTCAATGGTAGAATAGAACACTTGACTAACAAGCATAAGGCCCTGGGTTCGCTACCCAGCATCACATAAAAAAGAAAAAGAGATCATTTAAAAGAATAGAAACCACACACAGCACACTCTCAAAACTAAAATGAAATTAAACTTGAAATCATTAACAAAAGAGAGAAGTCACATCAGAAATGGAATAGGACTCAAAACTAATTATCCCATGGACAGTAACAGGAAGAAAAAAAAAAAGGAATATCATGCACAGCACTATGTCTACAAATTTGATTAGATTGATTCCTTAAAAGTTGCAATCTACCAAAATGTGTACAAGCAGAAATAACCTGAATAGACCTGTACATGTATATTAAAGACAGTGAATTCTAGAACAAATTATGCTAAGCGAAGTTAGCCAATCCCTAAAAAACAAATGCCGAATGTCTTCTCTGATATAAGGGAGGTGACTCAAAACAGAGTAGGAAGGAAGAGCATGAGAAGAAGATTACCACAAAACAAGGAAAAGAGGAGGGAGGGAAAGGAGGGAGAAGGGGAATTGCATGGAAGACGGAATGAGATCCTCATGGATTCACAAAATACATATAGGACAGTGTGAGGGGGAAGGGAAGAAAAAAAGAGAGAGAGAGATAAGTGTCACAGTAGAATGGGTAGAGAATAGTGATGAGAGAGGAGGGGAGGGGAGGGGGGATAGGGAGGGCAGTAGAATACAAGTGACACTAGGATTGCTGTATGTATACACATGGATGTATAACCAATATGATCCTGCAATCTGTACACGTGGAAAAATGAGAATCATACCCTATCTGAATCAAATGTATGATATGTCAAGATCACTGTATTGTCTTGAGCAACTAATAAAAAAATAAAATAAAAAATACAGTGAATTAACAGTAAAACATCATATTTTGATAGTTGTTCACTGGTGAATTCCATCAAATATCTAATAAGGAAATACCAATTTCTCTAATGTCTTTGAAGAAACAGAAGCAGAGGGAACACTTCCTAACTTATCCTTTGAGGAAAGCATCACCCTAATATCCAAGCCAGACATCAAAGGACAATTAGACCAGTTAGTTTCTCTCATGAATCCAACAACAAAATCCTCAATAAAATCAGGGGCTGGGGGGCCGTAGCTTAGTGGTACAGCACATGATAAAAAAGGCTGTGGGTGAGTGCAGTGGTACATGCTTGTAATCTACCCCAGTGACTTGGAAGGCTGAGGCAAAAGGATTGAGAGCTCAAAGCCAGCCACAGCAAAAGGGAGTTGCTAAGCAATTCAGTGAGACAGTGTCTCTAAATAAAACACAAAACAGGGCTGGGAATGTGGCTCAGTGGTTGAGTGCCCCCCAAGTTCAATACCCAATATAAAAAAAAAAAAAAAAAGAGCTGTGGGTTCAGGAAACTATGCAACTCCAAGGAAAAAACAGAGTCAATATTCTAGCTTATAGGCATCAAATTAAAAAGCTACCACCCAGCAAAGGAAACAATTAGAAATGTAAAAAGAGAACTACATATTTGGATGACAATCTCTGCTAGCCACTCTTCTGATGGAGAATTAATATGTTAAATATACATAAAGCCTTTACATCAAAAAAAAATCTTACACCAAAACTTTATACCCAAAATCCAAATAATATTGTCAAATAAATGGGCAAATGGATTAAACAGACACTTGTCAAAATAAGAAATACAAATGCCAACAAATATATGAAATAAGGTTCAACATCATTAGCAGTTAGGTAAATACAAATCAAAACTACACTGAGATTTCATTTCACACTAGTTAGAATAGCAGTCATAAGGATACAAATAACGATAAATGCTGGAGAGAATGTAGAGAAAAACGAACACTTTACACTGTTGGTGGGACTGCAAATTAGTATAACCACTATGGAAATCAGTATAAAGTTTCCTTAAAAGACCAGGCATGGAACCACTGCATGACCCAGCTCTATGGTTCCTCGGTATTTACCCTAACGGACGGAACTAGAGACTATCATATAAAGTGAAATAAGCCAAACTCAGAAGATTCAGTGTACTCTCACATACAGAAACTAGAGAAGGAAAAAAGAAAAGAAAGGTCAAGGTAGGGGGAAATCTCCTAAAAAATCAAAGGAAGATCAGTAGAGAAAAGGGACGAAGGGGTGGAGTGGATAGTTGCTGGAGAATGATATTGGTTAAATTATATTACATTGTATGCATCTATGAATATATAACACATCACATCATTACACACAACTATAATGCACCAATTTTTAAAATAAATGTGTGTGGGGGGGTGCTGTGGGTTCAATCCACAACACCAAAAGAAAAAAAAATCAATTTATAAAAAGAATTATATACCACAACCAAGTGAGATTTATTCCAAGGATAGAAGGCTGGTTGAACATGTGAAAAACAATTATACCAATGTACTCATAAAACTGTTCAAAGAAGAATCAAAAGCTCATGTCAATAGTTGCAGAAAAATCACTTGCCAATATCCAACACCCATTCATGATAAAAACTCTCCATAAATTACAAATAAGGAACTTCTTATATTTGATAAAGAACATCTACCAAAACAATTGCCATTAACCTATTTAACAATGAGAAACTAGCTTTCTTATTAAGAACAACAGCAAGGCAAGACTGCCCCCTCATACCAAAAGATATACCAGAAATTCACAAGATACACTGAAAAATCTTAATAAAAAAAGGAAATAAAAGGTATAAAGATTGGGAAGGAAAAAAATAAAGCTGTCAACATTTACTGATGACATGATTGTAAATGTAAAAATAAAAAACACAAAGAGTAGACAAGAATTTCCTGAAACTGCTAAGCAATAACAGGGTTATAGGTTAAAAACTGAATATATACAACAGACATTTGCCAAGTGGGTATGGTGTCACACAGCTGTAATCCCAATGACTCAGGAAGCTGAGGATTGCCTAAGCAATATAGCAAGACCCTGTCTCAAAAGAGAAGTTTAAAAAGCAATAGTGATGTAGTTCTGTGACAGAGCACTTGCCTAGTACACAAAATTTTTTTTAAATCCCTAATACCACAAAATGGTACAACAATAAAATTTTTAATACAATTTAATATTCCCCAGAATTTTAAATAAAATTTAATTCAATACAATTTAAAAGGAAGGAAAAATGAGAACAGTAATGAAAAATAAAAGGGATGCATGCAACTAAAAAGGAATGATAAACCTAAATCTAACCATGATAATTACAATAAATAAAAAGACTGAATCATTACCAGATATAGTAGATTCAAGTAAAATAACAAGGGATAAAGAAGGATGATCAAGATAAAGGAGTCAATTTGCCATTTCTAGAATGGTAGAAAGAAGGCTATTGTAAATATACCCCTTCATAAAAACAAGAAAAGCATTAACAAAGATGATCAAAATCAACTTCTTCATCAACCCTAGAAATTAACCAAAACTTTAACAATTTTTGAAGTTTTGTAAAAAGGAATGAATGAATGAATAAATAAATAAATAAATAAATAAAGCAAGCTGGGTTTATGGTACTGTTCTACTCTCCTTTTCCTCTCTATCCATACCCATCCCTCACTTTGGCTCAGCAGTGACTCGGCAGCTGGGGTGGGAATCAGGCAGGGCACAGAAGAATTTTTAGGACAGTGAAATCATATTGTGAGACACTATAGTGGTGTACATGTCATTCATTATACATTTGTCCAAACTCATAAAAGTACAACACAGGGGGGAAACCTAATATAAACCACAAACTTTGGTGGTGAGGCATGAACACAAGCTCTATGATTGTAAAAAATATGGCCCTATGGTACAGGATGTTAACAAGGAAAAATGTGTATGTGAGGGCAAGAGATTCCTGGATATCTCTGGTATCTTCCTATAAACCCAAATCTGCTCCAGAAAGTCAAGTCTACTTAAAAAAAAAAAAAAAAAAAAAATCACTAGGAGGGTCAACAGCAGATCTGACTGGCAAAATAAATCAATAAGCTAGAGATAAATGAATTGAGATTATCTAGTCTGAGAAATCTCATGAAAAAAAAAAACTCAACAAGGTTTCAAAGACCTACATGGTACCATCAAGCATACCAACATACACATAATGGGGGACTCGGAAGGAGACAAAGGGAGAGGATATTTGAATAACCTCTGAAAATATCCAAAAAGTCTTTATGAACTCCAATATGGATACAATAAAAAAGATACACACTTAAATTCATCACAGATAAACTATTAAAAGCTGAATATTAAGAACTTTCTTTTTTTGGGGTTGAACTTTATTTATTTATTTTTATGTGGTGCTGAGAATGAAACCCAGTGCCTCACACATGCTAGGCTTTACCACTGAGCCACAATCCCAGCCCAAGAGAACTTTATTGAAAGGAGAAAGCTCATTCCATATAAGTGATTCTCAGTAAGATTAATAGCAGGACTAGGGTCATAACTCAGTGGTAGAGCACTTGCCCAGCATGTTTGAGGTACTGGGTTCAATTCTCAGCACCACATATAAATAAAGACCCATCAACAACTAAAATATATTTTACATATATATATAATCAATAGCAACGTCCTTATCAGAAATCAGAGGTCAGAAAACAGTGGAATAACACATTTTAAGTGCTGAAAGTAAGTCAACCAATAATTCTATATCCCCAGCAAAACTACCATTTAAAAATAAGAGAGAAATTAAGGTATCACAGATAAACAGAAACTGTAAAAAACTTGCTAGCAGATCTGTACTATATAAGAAGTACAAAACAAGTCCAGTAGGCTGAGCTCAAAGAACATAAAATATAGATGATAACTTGAATCCATACAGAGCTATAAAGTATATCAGTAATAACTAAAAGCAAAAATAATATTTTTGGTAACTGCTTTTATATACCATAATTTGTAAAGATGCATTTTCTAACAGGAAAGCTGTAAATGTTTACACTAAAAAAGAAAGATCAAAGACTAATAATCTTCACACTTTAAGAAGCTGGAAAAACAGCAAACTAAATCAAAGCAAGCAGGGGTAAAAAATAAAAGAAAAAGAACAGGAAAAAAAGGGGAGGAATAGGGGAAAAATAACAGAGAAAGTAAACAAAACCAAGAAATTGATAAAGTATAAGAAGCAATATCTGATGAATGGCAGTCACAATTATGGTTGATAACACTATTCTTGGTAACTGATAGAATAAGCAGACAAAAATCATCAAGGATATGTGAGACCCAATAACACAGTATCAACTAATTTGACCTAATTTACAGGAGGATCACACACAAGTTCAAAGTCAACTCAGCAACTTAGTAAAACCCTGTCTCTAAATAAAATATGAAAAAAGGTCTGGAGAGGTAGGTAGCTTAGTAGTTAAGCACCCTGGATTTAATCCCTGGCACCAAAAAGGGGGGGGGGGGCAAAATAAACTCAAGGCAAGAAGTAAATATTAAAGAACAGAAATTTGTTTATATGCAGTGCTGAGAATTGAACCCAGTGCCTCACACATACTAAGCAAGCGCTCCACCACTGAACCACAACCCCAGCCCGAAATCAATGAAATCTTCTGACACACAAATTAGACTAAGTATCAATGAAAGCAAAATCTATTTCTATTGGAGGGGGGAAAAAGTACTCATGAAATTTTTGAACCTCTAATCAGTTTAATAAAGAAAAGAGTGAAAAAGAGAGAAAACAGGATATTTCTATATTGAACTTATAGACATTAAAAGATAAAACAGGAATTTAAAGGAAGAGCTCTCCACACACAAATTTGTCACCAATTATTAAAAATCACTGAAGAAGTAGGAAATAACCTGGATAGATACCGTACAGTTCTGTATTCAATTATTGTATTTTTAAAAAACCTTCAGAAAACTTCATCTCATATGATCCTATTGGTAAAAATTGTAACAATTTGACACAATCTCTTTCAGAAAACAGCAGTACCCAGAAATATTTTTCAATTCACTTTATGATACCAGTATTAATTCTTATATGGAAGCTGAAAATAATGCCAGGAAAAAAAAAAAAAAGAACTACTGATCAATACCCCTGATAAATATAAATCCAAAAGTTGCAACAAAATTTATGCAAATTGAACCCAAATGCATATAAAAATTATAATATACCATGATTAAGTGAGGCTTATCCCAGAAATGCAATGTTGGTTTCCTGAACATTCAAAACAATCAATATCCTTCATAAATTTAATAAAAAGTTCCATGATTGCAACAACAGATGGAATAAGAAAATTTGACAAAATTGAATAACCATTTTAGGTAAAAACTCAAAACTCTGGGTGAGGATGTCTCAGTGTAGGTTCATCGATAATAACAAACATATAATCATAACTTTCCATAGAAATTTTAGAATTAGCTTGTCTGTATCTTCAAAGAATCCTTGTGAAGTTTTGACTGGCACTGCCTTAAATGTATAGCTCAATTTTGGAAAACCTTTTGGAAACTCTAATAGGAATCCTAACTATTTTGAGTGTACTAATTCATAAATAGTATGCCTCTCGCTTATTTAGAGCCACTCTACCTGCTAGCCTCCCCTATCATCACCATTTGATAAGAACATTCTACTGCGCACTACATCAACAAAGTCAATGGAATCAAAAGGAAAACAATGAAGACATTCTTACCTGAGCTTCCTGAACTTTTTGAAGCTCTGATTGAAAGTCTTCCCCATTTCCATTGTCCTCATCAGTATCACTGCAAACTCCACAAAAAAATGTAGGTGGAAGCTTTAATGAATCTGCTTTTGCTTTCTCTTCAACTGTTGGTGTCTTTTCCCAAACAATAACACATTCTTTTTCATTATCTAAAAATTTCACACAAAACAAGCAAAAAAAAAAAATAGATGAAATCCAACTACTCTACAACAGTGATTGGCTTTCAGTGGTTCTCAATGTAATCCACAGACCAAGATAACAAGACCTAGGAATACTAATAGAGAATAAGGACCACCAAGAAACCAGTGTTTTTCATGTAGCATTATTTTTAAATATTTTAAGTTACTAGGGACAAGAACATGTTAAAAAAAATTGATTATTATAGAAATGATTATCAGATCAAGAGGTTTCTTTCAAATAGATGATTTGTTTTTTTAAAAAAAAAAATCTAATTAGTCATTTAAACTCAACATACCTGCTGGATTTTCTTCTATTGGCCTATGTTTTTCTGAGTCATCCAGATAGAGTTTTCCATTAAGTTTCCTGACAGCCATTTCAAAATCTTCATCTTAAAGTAAAAACAAGTATTTCTAGTAATTAGTTTTGAGGGTTTTCTAAGCCACAAAGCTAGGACTTATCTCAAACTTCATTCTTTCCTTCATTTTCCATATCCACACAGTCCATTTTGCCAACTAATGCCTCTCCTGTTTTTAGAGCTTTCACTTGTACTCTATTCCTATTTGGGCTGGCTTACTATCATTTTAGCACAGCTTCTAATCTCCTATTTCCACAACACAATCCTCTACACCACTGCCCAACTGGGATTTTTTGAGCTTGTAAGTATCCTGCTTAAAAGCTCTGATATGGCATACAAAGTTTTCCATCACTGAAATCTTGTCTAAGAGTTTTGAAAAATTATTACTTTTAATCCCTCAAAACGCCTGCCTAACATATGCTAGCAAACTAAAAAAACTGCTTGTTTAATGAATGCCATTCTTCTAATCATTATATCCACTGACTGTTTACACATTTAGGGAAAATATCTACCTGTAAGGATAGTAACAATAAGTTCTAAAAGTTGGGTTTAAAATAATTAAATCATACTCCAAACTACTAAGATTAGCAAAACCAGCGTGCTTTTTAAAACAATAAAATATTTACCATCCTCTTCTTCTTCACTAACATAATCTGGTTTATTCTTATAGCAGAAGAAAGTTGGAGGAAGTTTCAGTTTGGTTGCAAGTGCTTTTTGCTCAGGAGTAGGGGTTAGTTCATAAACAATGAGAACATCATCATCTGAGGGAGGATCTTCCAGTTTTTTCTTCTCTTCTGCTGTAACACAAGTAAAAAAAAACTGATAAAGACAAAAGTGCTGAATAACTATTATCATCAATATTCTAACTAAAAATAAAGTATCACATAATTTACCTATAGGTTAAAATGCACACAGATAAAAACATGAATACTTTGGTGCAGACCAAGCTTTATGATAATCATAAACTAGAATTAGCAGCCTAATTTAGTGTTCTCCTAAAACCTTTACAAAATCTACGTTAAAAATATTCTTTTACTTTTTAGCAATTGAAAAGAATAACCACTCATTTCCATAATTTAAAAAAGTCCTCCCCCATGACTACATTTGGCATACTACAGAACAGCAAATTATCCATGCATTTGTATCAAATGAAAAAAAAAAAACAAATAAATCTTAACTAATATGAATATGAAACTAATCCAGAGCCAACCTTCATTAGTTCCTACAAGGAAAGTTAAAAATTGTTAAGGATGGCAGGTGACCGAGTTACATATGGTTTTGCATCCAGTTTCCAGTGTGAAACTAGACAAAATTCAATAAAAACTATCATCCTATGGGTAAGTAATACTCTAAGAACCCAAGATAATTTCTATGGCTGAAAATATACCCCACCCGGCCCCTCCTTCCCACTACCCTCCAATGTACAGGGCAAAAAAGGAGGGGGAAAAGGGAATTTTATGTGTAATCTCTTCTGGTCTATGAAAAAAAAATTCTGACTAAAGAAAAAGATAACTTAAGCCAATGAAGAAGCATGCCATGTGCACAATGGTAATAGGGAAATATTCTCTAGAGCCATGCTGTCCCACTATGACAGCCAAGCCACATGTGGCTATTTAATACTTTCGAGAGGAAGATAGTTCAAACTGATATGTGCTGTCAGTGTAAACATTCATATTGGATTCTAAAGACCTGGAATAAAAAAAGAATATGAAATATCTTACTAATTTTTTATGCTAATTAGAAGTTGATATTTTGTTGATTAAATCAAGTACATCATTGAATTGATTTAATCTGTTTTTTAAAACCACCTTTTTTTTTAACATAGCTACTAAAAAATCATAAATTATATATAGAGATATGTTTTATTTCAATTGGATGACACTTCAGAGCCCCTCCTTTATGTTAAACTTGCCCCACTCCTCCATGACAAACAAAAACTTAGTATCAATTTCCTAGCCAGGGACAGTAAAGGAACCCTATACTTTATTAAATACAGATTCTTATTTCAGTTCTGCTATTAGTTGAAAGAGGACTCAGTAAATCAGAGAGCTTCTCTTGACCTCAGGTGCCTCATGTCTAAAGTCACATTTCTAAGGTCTTTTGGAACTATGTCCTCAGATTCCAAACAGAATAAGGTTTTCTGGGTCCTACAGTAGCATACTGATAAGGATCCCTGGCGTAAGAGGAAACCTAAGATAGAGTTCCCAGAGACTATCCACTTTTCTATGATATCCAACACACTTTTCACGTAATTTCTCAAAGATTGCATTTTCTAAGAGCTGCCTTAGCTAGTAATAATTGGTCATTTTAAACATGAAGGCTCCAGTACCGAGGACTTTCACTCTATCACTATAGTTTTAGGTGCTCAAGATGTGTTACTAACTAGACAGTAATGGTGAGTACTCATTTATCTGATTTTGCTCCTAACGGTCTTTTAACAGATTCTTCCTTCCTATTCCACTCTAGTTGCAATACTTACTTCTGCAAATGATCTGTGCTACATATACAACACACAGGCTATAGAATGGTGGCTATGAAAAATAATCAAATACACTATTTTCCTAAATGACATACAAAAAGAAATCCTTAAAGGACTGAATACATGCTGCTGCCATCACATTTGAATACTGGCAGACATTAGTGGCTGAAGATAAGGGTTAGATAAAAACATAGGTCCTCATTAAGCAGAGCTGAAAACAGAGCAATAAAGTAGAAAGCAGCAAAACAAAACAAAACAAAAAAAAACAAAACCAGTGTGCAATAATGAGAAAACACATAGCATCCAGGTACATTTTTTAAAAATACTATTAAAAGGTGTTATATCACCAGTCAAAAGATATTTTGCTTAAAATGGCATTCTAAAACATGCACATTGTAGCGTTAAGTACTTAATTTCATACAGCCACGGTTACTTTGCTAAGGATTACCAGCTGCTAGCCACCTCATACTGAGATTACTAGCTCTATACCTTTGCTCTCAGTCTGTGAGGAAGGGGTGCTGGTCCAAAAGGCCATTGGATTAGATTTAAATAAGCTAAAATTAAATCCTAGAAAATAAAATTTTTTTTTAATTTCAACATTTTGGAATATAAAATGAATATTATTTAAAATATGAAAAGCCAGAGTTCTTCAATTTATCCCAATCTGGTTATGTTACATATTTATTTATTCCAGTGCTTTCATACTTTGCTCACTTAATGGTGGCAAGACTAACTAACTTAATGTGTGAACATCTCAATACCATGAGCTCTGAGTAGTGACAAAATAATATAATTGAGAATGAACACTTTAAAAAAAGACAAGTTAATGCTCATGATTTAAATTTTTGAGTCTTTATTCTGTACTGGGGTTTTTCTGCTCTGCCCTCGCATAATACATTTATCTTCCAGTTATCAAAATCTCTTAAATAACCAACAATCTCTGTTACTGTTTGAATACTCATGAGTGAATTCATTTAGGGAGAAAAAGGTCTGCTCAAGAATCCTTTGGGTGTTCTCAAAGCAATATTTATGACCCAATTTTACTAAAACATCAGTGTCATATGCAGAATTTGCATTATATGAATACTAAAACCAAACAAAAACAAGTTGTGTTTAACTCTACAGACTAAGTACTTACCCTTTTCTGGTGTTTTAAATGTGTAATTAGTTGAAGATTCCTCCTTTGGAAAGGAAGCAAATAGACTTTTGACTTTGCCATTTGAAGATTTTTTGATATCAGAGTTCTCTGAAAGTTCACATTTGTTAGGTTCCACTTTTCTTTCAGATCCACTCTGGACTACTGTACTGGTTTCACTATTGTGGTTTTTCAAAGGTGCATTAAAACTAAATCCAAACAAAGACCCAGTGGCTGAACTATTGCCAAATGCAAATGGTTTTGATTTTTCACTACTAAAAATGCTTTTCACAGACTCTGAACCAAATACAAACTTTGGAGGAGAAACCACTGCTTTTGTTGTTGTTTCAGATGTGCTAGACACTTCTCCAACTTCTGAATTTGCATCTGGTACATCATCACCCTGTATTAAATCTGTCCTTTCTCTTGTGGTTTCTTCCAATACAGCTACAGCAATTTTGCCACATGGTGACTCTCTAGGAGTGCCTGAACGAGAAACATGAGGTGTTATCAAAGAATCTTTTTCTTGGGCTGTTTTTGCTTCATCAAAAATTTTCTTAAAGGAGTCTGCAACATCCTGTAGTTTAAAACGGACGGCTAAATGTTCTACTTTTCTTTCTCCATCTGCAAAATCACAGGCAGTCCACACCCATACTCTTTCTGTCCCTTTCATACTTTGTAAAGTCATGTCTGGAGTTATTCTGTGATTGGCACAAAGCTTTAACACCTGGTCTCTTCTCATCACTATGCGAACTTGCTTATTATCATAATTCTGTAAGATCTTTATATCACCAATGCCCCTTTCTTTCCACTGACTAACATCTTTATCATATCTATAGAGTTTTGCTCTGTGACTAAAAACAACTTGCTCATTTTCCTCACCACTGGACACTTGAACTAGATCAGGTAAAGGTACAACAGGTTCAAAGTATTGTCCATCTCTCTCTTCTTCTTGAGTAACATCAGATTCTTCATCAGTGCCAACAGAGGTCCCACTCTGATTCAACTTGGCAGGAGACTTAGATGGGCTCAAAGCAGATTTAAAACTAAAGTTAAATCCTGTTGTTGATTCACCAAAGCGGAAGAGGTTTTTTCTCACAGGGCTGCTTGCCAATGGAGAAGCATGTACTGAGCTATTGCTTACACTATCATCCAAAGCATCTTCCCTTAAGTCATAGTTATCCCACTCTAAAGTGGGCCCAGTGTTTTCAGAATCTGGCTTGACTGTTGTGTCTGAGGCACTGGCAGCATCTGTACCTGAACTCTTATTCCCTTCATCAGTGACTTTTGTTTGATCATTTGTCAAAACTGTTTTGAAATCTTTCAGTCCACTCTTCATTTCCTCAGCTCTCTGTATTAATTTGGCAGCTCTGCCAGTATCAACTAGTTTATGGGGAGTTTGAAGTGGAATATCTAACAGAAGTCGCTGGCACTCTTCAAATTTCTGCTTGAATTCTTCAGCTAACTCTGGTGTTTTAAATTTTGCTGCCAGCTGTTCCAGTTTGGCATCGCCATCAGAGAAATCACTAGCTAACCACATCCATGCTCGATCTGATCCAGAGAGAGGCTTGAGGTTCATCGTAGTCGTTATCCAGTGATTGGCACATACTTTTAATACTTGTTCCCTTCGCATCAGCATTCTTAGTTTACCATTGACTTCATTTTTGAGAATTTTTAAGTTCCCCAAACCCCTTTCTTTCCACTGACTTATCTCAGCATCAAACCTAAATAATTTCACTCGCTGTGAATACAGAACTTTTTCATCTTCTTCTCCTGTTACAAGTTCCACTTTTTCAGGCATTTGTACTACTGGTTCAAAATGGATGTCATCACTGTCCTCAGTTTTATAGGCATCATCATCTTTCTCAAGATCAGCAGAAGTGCTGGCTTTTTCAGTCATTTTACCACTTTGCGATGAGAATAATTTTTCTCCAGCACCTGAAAATCCCTTAAAATTAGGATCTTTCTTGCCAAATTGAAATCCTTCTCCTGAAGTTGACTTTGCAAGATCTGCAAAGGTAAAAGTGCTGCTTGTCTGACCAAAAATTACACCACTGCTACTCTTCTGACTATGAACATCCTGAGCCTGGGAACTGGTGTCATTTTCAAGGTGCTTTCCACTTTTCTTCTCTTGATTTCCCTGTTCTTGAATGCCAAATTTAAACCCATCAGCAGACACAGGGATGGAAAAACTAAATCCTTCTTTTATTGACTTAAATTCTGTATTAGAAGAACCCTGAAATGTAAATGAAGGTGTGTTTTCTTGATCCGCATGCCCAAATTTAAATCCTTGCTCTGTAATGCCAAATTTAGAAGTTTTTTCTGGAAAGTTACCTTTAAATCCTGTCCCCACACGACTTTCAGAAGAGTCATTTATCTTCGTTTTTGAGCCCACTGTGAAAGCTGAAGGAGCTTCTGCAATAGGTTTGTGAGCTGGTTTAGCAGCATCACAAGCAACACATTTTAAAGAAGTACTCTCATTTTGTACAAAACAAACACTACAATCCCACTGTCCTTCCTTTTTGGCAAACATTCCTTCAAATCCATTCTTTGGAGCCTTGCTTACCTCTGAAGAGGCAGGTGCTGTAACAGTTGTAGGCTGATTCTGTTTATTTGGATTCTGACAAGCAATACATTGGGTAGCACTTGCTTCATTTCGTACTAAGCATAAACTACAATCCCACTGTCCATCCTTCTTGGTGAACATTCCCTCAAATCCACTCTTTGGAACCTTGCTTATCTCTGAAGTACCAAACTTGAAAGAAGCAGAAGCTGGAACAGCAGAAGTGGATGTACTTGGCTTAGCAGGATTCTGACAAGCAATACATCTTGTAGCATTTGCTTCATTTCGCACTGAGCATGAACTGCAATCCCACTGTCCTTCCTTCTTAACAATCATGTCCTCAAATCCACTCTTTGGAGTTACACTGATTTCTGAAGTATCAAACTTAAAAGAGGCAGGTTCTGAAACAGAAGTAGTAGGTAGACTCTGTTTTCTTGGATTCTGACAAGCAACACATTTTGCAGAGCTTGCTTCATTTCTTACCAAACACACACTGCAATCCCATTGTCCTTCCTTCTTAGCAAACATGTCCTCAAATCCACTCTTTGGAGTTACACTGATCTCTGAAGTACCAAACTTAAAAGAGGCAGGTTCTGAAAC